CAGAGCAGAGCAGGGACTAAACGGCTGTGCGGCAGAGAGGGGGAGTGGCCAGAGTGTTAGGGGTCATCCCTCCCTGGGCCATGCTGAGCTGGGAGCTCTGCCGCTCGCCCTCCATGCAGGACAGCTGCTTCGTGCCTGCTCCGCTCTCTGGCCCTTGCTCCCGAACCCCCCGCCTGCCCTCTCTGGGGCTTTGGGGTGGAGTGTGGGCGGGACCTTAAAGGGAAGAGGCTGAGGGGAGGGAGCCTCAGGGCAGAGCCTTGGTTCAGGCGTCAGGGCCCACAAAAGATTAATCCGTCTCTGCGGGTGCTGGGCACCCCATATTGGGGTGTGCGTGTGCTTGAGCCCCACTGCACTGCACTGTGCTTGAGCCCCAGTCAGCGCCTATGTGGCAGGTTCTCTGATAGTGTGCTTGAAGACCAGTGTTCAGACGACGATAGGTTAACGCTGATCTGACCTGCTGCCCTTTGCAAAGGGAAGCATGACATCTGTTTGAAATAGACTGCACCACATATTGTTGGCATAGAGATGACTAAGGAAGTTGCCCCAAGAAACTCTGGGATACATCCAGAGGACTTCCAGGACCCAAGTCAAGCTGGGGTCACGTACACACAGGAAAGCAATAGGGTTCGACCTTAGGTCCCTGCTTAACACTGGCTCAGACCCTCCAGCCCTGCAGACTTCTGGGACCCTAGGTTTGAGCACTGGGTTAACACCATTAGTATGTGGACACAATGGGGGTTAGGCTTGAACCAGGAGCCAACGCTTACATTGCTGTGTAGACATATCCTGAATGGCACTTTCACACTCTCCCTTCCAACCTGGGTGAGAGATTCCTTAGCCTGTTCACAGCTACACAATAGTGCAGTTGCAATGGCACTGGGCTATCAAAGAAATACTGTACTTTCTTTATATTATCAGCCAGAAGCTACTTTCAACTTTAACAATGGCAAGACATCTTCAGTTATATCTGCATTTTGCATTTTAAGGAGTAAGGCAATGCAATCCCGATAGACACAGATGATAGTTTTAGTTCCTTAAACCATGGACATTTTAAACAAAAAATGGAATGCAGAGTGATAAACACAACCTATATAAATTTAGTGACTCCGCATCACAGGTTGCAGAATCGCACATACCCTAACCCAAGTAGCACAGCAGTTCTGTACCTTTCAGTTGGCTGCTTCTAACTTTCTTTGGGGAAGAGTATAAGACTGAAACTAACAAAGTCTTTGGCTTATTTGTAGTATGCAGCACTCTTCCTCTGGAATTGTTTGCTTTTTTTAACATCCTCTGACAACAACTTCTCCTTTGGCTGATTGAATGGATTTCTTTGTACTGATGATGTAATGGATGCATCAGAATGAAAAGAGGCACAGGCATAGTTCACAGCCTCGAGTTTCCTGTCACAATGTTTCCACCCTTGATTTTCGCAAAGGCAGCCACCACCACAACTTCCAGTTTTTCTCTGACGTATAATACAGCTACGCTTTCTCCTTCTTTTACTTCCCCTTTTTGTAAAGCACATGCAATCTTTCATGTGAAAGATCACATTAAGGACAATTATAATAACATTGTGAACCTCAGTTGGAACTTGGATTCAAAATTGTCATAAAAAAACCACACAAATTGTAGGGTTAGAATTTTCAAATGTGGAGGCCTAACGCTAGGCTCTTGAAGATGGATGGAAAATCAGGCTCATTACCTCTGACTGAAGCCACTTGGACCTGCAGATGGCCAGTGCCTCTGAAAAATAAGGTTGCTTGTTTGAGCACCAAACTATGGTTATAGGTGCTTAATGTAAGGCCAGTTTTCAAGTGGTGATGCCTTGTTGTTTGTGGCTTCTGGAATAGTAGTTGTGCAACCCTTACAGATGGGTGTTGTGCTGCAAGAGTCACTTGCCAGGAGAAATTTGCAGACAAAAGCCCTGATTTCACAGTTACAAGATCCAAACCACCAACACCATCAGGAAGTGAGAACAGAGAATAAGCATATCCAGGGTGTTTGCATCCCCAGGACAATTTGTTACACCCTGAGTTTGACCTGAAAGAGGAGAAAACATCTGTAAACAATTAGCAATCACCTACCTCCATCACCTTCCCAATGTTGCCCATTACAGGTATTTCCTATCTTTTCCCTTCCGTTTTCTGTATCTCATATTTCTGTATCACCTCAAAAATGAACTGAAGTCAACTACCCTTTCCTATTCCTACCCAGCTTCTGGCAGTCTACTAGTTATGGCTTCAGTCATTCTAGACAGAGCAAGTCATTTTTGAAAATGAAGGGTAGTTTCTCCCCTAAAATGTAAACAAATGTTAATAACACCTTTGTTGAACCGTGGCAGTGAATGAACTTCAAATTTCCATTGAGTTGTACAACTATGTTTGATATCAATGTATTATAGGATTTCTTTTTAAATCACTTACACTCTTATCTTCTGCATTTTGAATTATTTGAAACATTTCTTTCAGGTTTCTGAGTTAACCCCAGTAAAGAGATAGTGTAGGGGATTGTAACGGATCTGAAGTATTTCCCTTCACAGGAGACACACTGGACACCAAACAACAAATAATGAGAGACTCTCTACTGCTGTGGTGGTGATATTGTTTAGACCCTTGGCAAAACCACAATAACAAAAGAATATACACCAGAGACCTCCTAGGGTCCCAGGCCAGGATCTTCTAATTACACTCCTTAAACTGCAGTAATTATTAAACAGTTCAGCCTATGGAGACATTTCCCCAACCACTATTTGGGCCAGAGTCCTCCTCTGCGAAGACCAGGTTCTATTTGATTGTACTTGGTGTAGGTTCTACTGCCCTGATCACTGTAATAGCTGGGTGCTTTCCAGCAGTGTATTAAGCAACACGACTAACAGCTGTCACCATGTGGTTTGTTCTTTCTCTCATCCTCTCCCCAGAAGGAGAATTGTGTTCTATCAGGTAAACAACTTTTTAACCTCTGGTGGTCCTCAATAAATCCTTGAGGTAGAAGAAGATATAAGGGTTTTCTGTCCCAGGACCAGCTTGAGGTTTACTGCTGTTGGCCCAGAAGAGTTCTCCCTTTGAGCCCCAATATGCTAGTACAACCACCTCCAGGATAAAGAGAGTCTCTGAGGTTTTAAAAAAGAAAAAGTGAAAAAAGTATTTGTTTATATACGAAACAGCAAATAGCAGCTGAAATGGTTTAATAGCTAAACCAAAAGGTAGACATTTAACCGAGCTTGTGCTCGATCTCTCAGCTCTTATCTGAGTGCATTCCAAAGAGAGAACTAATAGAAAACAATGTCCAATAAATTGACTGTTCCTCCCTCTTCCTTGGGTGGTTGCTGGAGATATAACTATTAGAGCCATTGAGGAAATAGTTTCCCCATGAAAATTTTTTACAAAAGCAAATATTTTTCATTTGTCTATTTTTTCTTTGAAATTTCAGGTTTGTTGCAACCAAAAGGTGAGAGTATTTTATGAAAACCTACACCATTTTTACAAAATTTGAATTTTTTAATCAAAATTTGTTCAGTTGAAAAACCATTTTAATTAAAAAAAGTTGTCAGAAAATTTGAGTAATATATATATTACTCCTTCAAATGTAGGTGACTGAGGGTGAACGCCAACTCTTCCCTCCCTTCTCCTATTTTCTGTAATCTTAGGCATTGTCTACTTACTCTATACGGTTTTGTCAGCAAAAAGTAGCTTTTGTTGACAAACCAGTGGAGATGTACCCACTGTATTGCTACTTTTGGCGGCAAAACTCTCCTGTTTTGCCAACAAAATAAAACCACCTAGACGAGAGTCATAGAGCTTTTTGTGGGAAAGTTAGAGTGACAAAGCATCCATGTAGAACACAGTGTCTACACTGAATGGTGGGATTGAGAAACATGAGTCATTGCAAACCCTTCCCAAAGCACCCTGCGCCCAGTTGAACAGTGGGATAGCTACCCACAGTGCACTGCTCTCTGCGCTGATGCAAGAGCTGCTAGTATGGATGCACTCTGTTGACCCAAGAATCTAGTGTGGACATGCAACAGCGGTTTTAATTAAAGTGGGGCTGTATGTCAGCATAACTTGTGGAATGTAACTGGCAAGAGAAGTCTTAGCTGCCTTAGGTCTTTTTTGGGGGAGACTTAATCCATTGTCATAAATGGCCTTAAAGATGAAAACTACTGTTTTGAAACTAATCCAGTGTTCTTTGAAAGGCCTGTGTGTCGGGCTGGAGTTGCTGAGGAGGCAGGCTGCTGCATTTTGCGCCATTTGGAACTTTTAAAAGTAGGTGGGGAAGATTTCTTGTAATTCTAAAGCTCTTTCTTACAACTAATGTACAATGCTGAGAACGTCTACTGCTAAAAAGTAAAAACATCTACTGCAAACTCCATAACTTAAATTCACAAAATATTTTTCTTTCCTTGTGGTTGTTGGACAGAGTTTAGTGCTGCCTCTTTTTCAGACCCTACAGAAAAGTCACGTTGTGGGGGGGTTAATTTGTTCAGGGTTAATTATTCTGGAATCCACTGTGTCTTTGATCTAAAGTATGTAAAATGAGTCATTAAGAATGTTGTACAGCATACACAAAGTGTAAGGGCTTTGATAATGCAAATTAGAGCTCTGGAAAGCTAATTTAGGCTATCATCAGGACTGGAAATAGAGAATTAACCAATGAGGGGCAAATAATCAATCAGATTGGTATGACATTTAGGTAATAGTCACACATCTGAATCCAAATAATCTATTGTACTATATTATTTACCCCACAACCTCTCCCTAACTCCAGAGCCTGAGATCCTTCCTTAGCTTTGAGGTTTTAGGAAGTGGTCCTTGGAGAGAGAGAGAGAGAGAGAGAGAGAGAGAGAGACGACACACACACACACACACACACACACACACACACACACACACACACACACACACACACACACACACACACTAC